CATCGGCAGGCGGACTCTCAACAACTGCGCCACCAGGGAAGCCCTCCATGCATTCTTTTACTTAACTTTCCAACTTGCCTGTGACGTATGCACTCTTACTCTTTCTATTGCTCTCCTTTCTGGGGAGCTCAGACAAGTTAACTGCACAGCTACCTAGTGGCAGAGCCAGATCTGCAGCCCGTGTGTCAGCTTCTGGTTTTCCATCCTAGACCCTGGTACAGGGCTGCGAAAAGCTCCTGGTGGCTGAAGGCACGCTTGCATTGCAGTCTTACTTCGCTGCAAGCCCCACGCTGCTCCATCCCTCTGTTCCTCTGCAGCTGCAGCCCAGGTGTCTCACTCACCTGGGGAAGCAGTGTTTCATCTGTCAGGGGATCTGCAAGAATAGGTTGTATATAAATGCACAACTTAGATGTCAAAGCTTTGTCGGTTTTGAAATAATTCTAAAGTCTCTCCCATTATACTTGCAAACTAAGTTATTAAGTTTTTAAAATTCTAATTTAATAATAATTTTTAAAAACTTCAGCGAGGGGCTTCCCTGGTGGTGCAGTGGCTGAGAATCCACCTGCCAATTCAGGGGTCGTGGGTTCGATCCCTGGTCCGGGAAGATCCCACATGCCATGGAGCAACTAAGCCTGTGTGCCACAACTACTGAGCCCGTGCACCGAGAGCCCGTGCTCCACAACGAGAGAAGCCACCGCAAAGAGAAGGCCGCGCACCTCAACGAAGAGTAGCCCCTGCTTGCCGCAACTAGAGAAAGCCCACACACAGCAACGAAGACCCAACACAGCCAAAAATAAATTTAAAAAAAAAAAAAAAAAAACTTCAGCGAGAAAATAGTTTCTGCATAAGAATCATTACACATCTCACATCCCTTAGGGTGGCTACAGAAAATAACAAGTGTTGGTGAGGATGTGGAGAAATTAGAACCTTGTGCACTATGGGTGGGAATATAAAAGGTGCAGCTACTGTGGAAAACGGTATGGAGATTCCTTAAAAAATTAAACATAGAATTACCATTTTATCCAGCAATTCCTCTTCTGGGTATATAATCAAAAGAATTGAAAGGAAGATCTTGAAGAGATATTTGCACATCCATGTTCATAGCACCATTATTCACAATAGCCAAGAGGTGAAAACAACCCATGTGTCCGTTGACAGATGAATGGATAAACAAAATGTATATGCATGCAATGGAATATTAGTCAGTCTTAAAAAAGGATGGGCATCAATCCTGTCACATGCTACAGCATAGATGCACCTTGAGGACATTATGCTAAGTGAAATAAGCCAGTCACAAAAAGACACATATTGTGTGGCTCCACTTACATGAGGGATCTAAAGTAGTCAAATTCATAGAAGCAGAAAGTAGAATGGTGGTGGCCAGGGCCTGGGAAGAGGGGGTATAGGGAGTTGTTGTTTAATGGGTGCAGAGTTTGTTTTGCAAGATGAAAAAGTTCTGGAGATCCATCACACAAACTTAACACAACTGAACCGTACACTTCAAGATGGTAAATTTTATGTTATGTGTTTTTATCACAATTTTTAAAAAAAGTCATTACACAAATAGAACTGTTTTAAGTTCTGTGCAGTCTTCAGGATGTCAAATGAAGATAACCTGTAAAGACAAAGCAATCAAATTAATCTCTAAGGAGAAGGGTCAATTTGTTAAGATTTAAAAAGCATGCACGAGTCTCAGACATTTAAAGAATCAGAAGGGGGCTTCCCTGGTGGCGCAGTGGTTGAGAGTCCGCCTGCCGATGCAGGGGACATGGGTTCGTGCCCCGGTCCGGGAAGATCCCACATGCCGCAGAGCGGCTGGGCCTGTGAGCCATGGCCGCTGAGCCTGTGTGTCCGGAGCCTATGCTCCGCAACGGGAGAGGCCACAACGGTGAGAGGCCCGCGTAATGCAAAAAATAATAATAATAAATAAAAAATAAAAAAAGAGTTTTCCTCAGTCTGAAATTCATAATTCTCATCATGAAATCATTCTTTAACTTAATTTTTAAGAGTCCCTTTTAATTTAGATGACCCAGTCACATCAGTAAGACTACAGACAGGCTAACCAAAAACGAACTTTAAACAAATCAGAACTGAGGGGCTCCCGTATGCTGTGGTCTTTTGTAAAAAAAAAAAAAAAAAATCATCAGAAGGGTCCCAACTTTGGCCTGGTTCAGAGAGGTGTCGGAAATGTGATACAGCTGAGTGTTTACAAGGCATCTGCTGTCACTAGGCCTGTGCTGAGTGGTAGGAGGGTCCACGTGGTCGCTGTCCGTGAGGAGTCTGTCTGGCAGATGGGTAGGTCGGGGTTCGTTCTCTTGTTTGTGGAACTGAGGAGTCAGGGGTAGAACTGACTTTAGGTCCCCCTCACCTCGGCATCCTTCTCAGGCAGGCTTCCCTCCTGGTAGCAAAGTGGCTGCCTCCAGCTCTAAGTTTGTCTCCTACTCGGGGAAGTGGGAGTCTCCCTCACGGTTCCAGCAAAGACGTGGGATGGAGTCTTTGGGGTTTTGCTTTGGCTGGCAGGTTCATCCTTCAACAAATCACTGTGGCCAAGGAGGGCCACCGTTGTGTGACTTACCTTGGCGCCCTGAGCCCAGCTGAGCACAGGGCGCTGTTGTCAGAGGAGGGTGAGTAGAGGCTGAGCAGGCAGGCACGACACGTCTCCCATGAAGGATGAGATGTGTACGGAGTACCATCGATCTCAGCGAAGGTGAAGACCAAGTTAGCAGCCAAGGAAGGGCTGGCTGAGGCTGGCTTTGAAGGGTGCGGGACTGGGAGGATGGGGGCATAGGTGTGGCAAATCCTAGAAAATGGGAATCCTGAGGGAAATAGAGGGGAGTGTGAAAAGGATCAGCTTTCGTGGCGGCAAGCCTGAGTTTACTTCCCTGCTCTGCCACCCGTCTTTGGGTAAATTCTGAACTCAGAGCCTGTTTTCTCACCCCAGAGCGGGGAGTTGACAACAGCCCCCCATCACAGGGGGGTCTGAAGAGCGTGTGGGGCGATGGGTGGTGGCCAGCCCCGGGCAAACATGCAGTAAATTGCCTGCTCTTACTATTACTCCATTGTAGAGGTCAGCCCCGTGACTGTCATTGTGTCTATCGAGGGGCCATGCGAGAGAGTTACGGAGTCATCGTGGCTTTCCGCTCCTCACCTAGTGGCGGGTGGTCTGACGATGTCTACCGAGCTGGCCAAGTGACGCGCTCCCCTTGTCCTCTCTCCCCAGAGGCGAGAAATACGGCTTCATCACCTACCGGTGTTCTGAGCACGCCGCCCTCTCTCTGAGGAACGGCGCTGCCCTGCGGAAACACAGCGAGCCCTCCTTCCAGCTGAGCTACGGGGGGCTCCGGCACTTCTGCTGGCCCCGCTACACTGACTACGGTGAGTACGTAGGCCCCGCACATCCCAGTCAGACCCAAAACGTCAGGGGCAGTGACCTCCTTTATTGAAACCTAAAGCCCCCTCTGGACATGGCTCCCACACCCAGACTCCCCTGTGCTGGTGAGTATAACTTGGCAGCCAGTTGGCCCGGAGGCTGGTCTCTGGTGCATCTTGTCCTGTGCCAGGACTGCTACCAAAGAGATGAATGAAGCCTCTTGTGGCCTCTTGGAAGGTCCAATCTCGTGTTCACAGCCACCTGGCAGAACCATGGCTACCGTCTCTTTGACCTCACAGGACCAGTAGCTGACCTGCCCCCTTGAGGGGCATCCACGGCGGCCCCGACAGGCAGCAGCCTTGTCCATTAATTGGGCTGCGGTGAAACTGTTGTCACCATGCCTAGCCATCTGGGGACAAGTCAATGAAGGACAAAGTACCATTTAGGAGAGAGTTCTTTATAGGGGAGAGTCCGGTGCAGCCTTCGGAGTGCAGGGCTGAGTGTCAGGAGACCCCAGAGGCTCCCGGCCAGGCAGCGCTCCTGACTGCATGTCCCCCATGGGGACCCAGTTCCCTGGCCATGCGCTGAGGGATTCGTGGTTTCGTTGGCTGCCTTATATGACCTCCGCACTGGTTTCCTAATTGGCAAGAAACTGTTAAGGGAAGTAGAATTAGAGGCTTTTGGAGCTGGAAAGGAGCTCTGGGGGACTCTGCTTTAGGCCTCCCCATCCTGCAACCAGGGCGACCGAGGCCCTGAGACACTGCTCACATACATGGCAGAGGTGTCCCAGCAGGAGGGCAGAGCTGCCGCCCGCCGCCCGGTGCTCTCTGAGGCCTCGGGCCACATCCGCTCTGTGGTGCTGACCCCGGCGGCAGATTTTCTGGTCCGCTGGCCTTTCTGAGCTGCTCGCTGCCTTCCTCTCTCACTGCCTCCTCCACACCCAACCAGATTCTAATTCAGAAGAGGCCCTGCCTGCGTCAGTGAAAACCAAGTACGAAGCCATGGATTTTGACAGCTTACTGAAGGAGGCCCAGCAGAGCCTGCACTGATAACAGCCTTAACCTTCGAGGAATACCTCAATACCTCAGACAAGGCCCTTCCAATATGTTTACGTTTTCAAAGAAATTAAGTATATGAGAAGGAGAGAGAGCGAGTGCGTGAGAGAGAGAGAGAGAGAGAGAGAGAGACTTGGAACTGCTGTCCTTTTAAAACAAACAAAAAAATCAATGTTTACATTGAACAAAGCTGCTTCTGTCTGTGAGTTTCCATGGTGTTGACGTTCCACTGCCACATTAGTGTCCTCGCTTCTGACAGGTTGTCCTGGGTGCGCTCCAGACGCTGAGTCCGTCACCCACCTCCCCTTCCTCCCCGACCGACGTCCCCTCGTAGACGTGCAGCTGTGTTCACCATACCATTTCTTGTCTGTAGTGTGTGATGATAAAATCGTTATTTGTGAATAGAATCAGGATTATAAACTCATTTTTAATTGAAGAAAAAAAATATATCCTTAATGTATTTATGGCTCAGATGTACTGTGCCTGGGATTATTGTATTGCTTCCTTGATTTTTTAACTATGCACTGTCGTGAGGTGTTTGCCACTGAGCTGCACTGCTCCCTTTGCCAGAATGCCCCAGAGGTGCTGGGTGGCCGGAAGCCTGGCCACCGGGAAGGTGTGGCATGCAGCCACAGCTAGGAGGAATGGAGAGAGGTTTCTGGGCCTCTTCTGCCGAGCGCTGCCTTGTCTCTCATTGAGCAAGTTTGGGTCCATTTACAATCAGAGCCCTCATCTGGTGTCCAGCTCACGCTTAGAATTTGTGCCTGGCCGTGAGTGCTCAGATCCTTGCGTACCTTGGAAGGAAGGTGGGGTGAGCTGCGTTATTCCCGTTTTCCAGGCAGTGCCCTAAGAGGCGAAATGACTTGCCCAGGGTCCCACGACCAGTGAGACTACAGAGAAACGGCCCAGCCCAGGCCTATCCTAGGGTAAAGAGGCAAAGTTGCAAGGACTGGTAGAGGTGGGTTCAGCTAAAAAGGACAACAGGCTAGACGCTTCCAGGCTCATTTTGTGGGGGTAAGTCAATGGCTGCCTCACCAGCATGGGGCAATTTTAGGCTCTGGCACCAGTCTTGATCCAAGGGGTCCTGTGGTTTGCTTATACCTGTGGACATGCCATCACAGCTTCAGTGACGCACCTGGGGTGACACAGAGAGGCAACCTGGGAGCAGTCATCCATCCTTTTTGGGCCAGTCACCAGCCCGTCTTCCTTCAGCTTGGCTTCCCTTTTCTTCACCTGTAAAGTTGTTTTGGTGGCATGGGGCAAGGGGAGCAGGAGGGAGACATGAGGGATGGGGATGGACAAGACAACCTCCAAGCTCCTCTCCGACTTAGAAAACGTTCATTGGGCTTTACTTTAAAATTTGTGTTCTTGAGTGATGTCAAAGCCATGTCCAGCTTGGATGTTCTGCAGGTGCCTTGGGGGCCGTTTGTGAGGGAGAGCATGGCCAGGCAGGGTAAGAGTGCATTGCTTCTGCTTCAGACAGAGTGGCTCCAACTTGGTCTCTTTCACACATCAGGGTTCCTTGGGAAATTTTTGTGTTTAAAAGAAAAAAGGTCCTGCTGCTTAAAAAAAGTTTGAACTTGACTCATTTAACTAAACGAGGTGATTTAATCTATTATTAATGCCGGGCCTAGTTCTTTGGGAATTGGTAGTTATGGGGTTTTGGTTTGTTTGTTTGTTTCTTTGTTTGTTTTTGCAGTACGCGGGCCTCTCACTGTTGTGGCCTCTCCTGTTGCGGAGCACAGGCTCCAGACGCGCAGGCTCAGCAGCCACGGCTCACAGGCTCAGCCGCTCTGCGGCATGTGGGATCTTCCCAGACCGGGGCACGAACCCGTGTCCCCTGCCTCGGCAGGCGGACCTTCAACCACTGCGCCACCAGGGAAGCCCTGTTTGTTTGTTTTTGCAGGACGCGGGCCTCTCACTGTTGTGGCCTCTCCTGTTGCGGAGCACAGGCTCCAGACGCGCAGGCTCAGCAGCCACGGCTCACAGGCTCAGCCGCTCTGCGGCATGTGGGATCTTCCCAGACCGGGGCACGAACCCGTGTCCCCTGCCTCGGCAGGCGGACCCTCAACCACTGCGCCACCAGGGAAGCCCTGTTTGTTTGTTTTTAAGATTATAAAATACCTCAGTAGGTTAACTGGGCCGATGAACCTCTCCTGAGAAGTGAGCGTACTCCAAGCCGGCAGAGAAGGTTGGAGGAGACAGTCGTTAGAGGAACAGGGAATTTGAGTTCCTGTGTATCAAGTCAGTTCACCTCTCTGGGCCCCAATTGTCTTTTCTGTGTAATGGGCTGAGGGGGAGAATTAGGCAAGCTGATCTCTAAGGTCCTTGCCAGGTCTGATAGTCTTAGCTTCTCCTAAGGTGGTATCTTGCAAATACATAGTGGCATATGGGCCACTACTCCCATGTCCTCAGCCAGTAGCAGACATAACTAATCATCCACAGTACTCATGTTCTTTGAGCTTGGTCATGCTATTAGAATCCTCAGCACAGTTCCGAGCAGCCATTACTAACTGATCAGAGTTTAACCTGTTTAACCTTCTGGTCTAATCTTTGAATGGTTTCTGTTATACAGAACTATACGGTGGCTGGGTTTCATGCTGGCCCATCCCTGATCTATGAGAGAAAATTCCCCTAAAGCCCTTCCTTGGCAGAGGACTCCCAATACTACTCTGACACAATCCCATTTCGGGGTGGGGGCCAAGTGGAATAGTGGGCAGGAACATGTTTGGGGAAGGCAAGGTTTATGAGGATGGACCGAAAGGGGACTTTCCACAGCACGAACCTGCACATTCTAAATTCCTTTGATAGCTGTTCACTGCCTAGCATACAGTAGGCACACAATAAATGGTTATGGAATAGAATGGAATGGAATAGAATTTAAATCCACCCGATGCCTCCCCTAAGTCCTGATTTGCACCAAGGAGTAAACTGAGATTTCATCCTGTGGAAAAAGTAGGAAGGAACTCTACATTCAGAGTCTGGAGAACTGGGATGAGTCCTGGCTCTGCCAAAAACTATCTTTGTGACTTTGATAAGTCACAGAGTCCCTTCCTCTCCCTGAGCCTTCGTGTGCCAGAAGGAGTCAGACTAGATGATCTCTAAGCCCCTCCTATTTGCTTCTTCCTTGATTGCACTAGCCTAGAGATTCTACCATGAGAAGTTGGTACCTTAGGGTAAAGAGATGCAGATTTTTAGTGAAGGACAAGTGTGTCCCCTCTTCTGGGTCAGCTGAAGCTGCCCTTTCACTTCAGATTAATACAAGGCACTTGAAGGTAGTTAGACATTGGCTCTTGAGTGTAGTACTGGGACGTGATATGCCTAAGGTCGGGGCTGGGGCCCACTGATGGGAGAGGGTGCCTGCCAAAGGCATCAAGAAGTTTCTTCTCTCCATCCTGTACGTAGAAGGCTGCAAGTTCTAGAACTGACCAACCCTGCAGACAACCTCCATCCAGAAGACTCATTCGGTGCTCTGTATTATTTACCAAGGAGACTCCAAGGTCTCTCCAGGACAACTAGTCAACCTTGGTCTCTTTCCCACCAAATTAAGGAGTAACCCAGAGGGAGCAGCTGCCATTGGCAACCATCTCATTGTAGCTCTGTCCTAGTATTTGCTCTTGATCGTTTACATGTGATTGCCATAAAAGCTTACAGTAGACTGTGTTGGTAGCCACCCATGCAAGGCAGGTTGTACTGTCCATCTCTGTGCCGTGCTGGTGTTTTCCAAATATGTCCGATCTAAACGCTAAGTGGAATTCTTCCATCTCCTTCCTCAGTCGGTACAGGCTGAATCAGAATCCTCACTCCTGGGGGCTCTGGTTACTGAAGGAAAATGCATCAAAGAGGTAAAGAATATGAGTGGATGGAGTGCAGCTACGGCGGTGACCCCCTTCCCCCCATCATACCTTGCCCCCCAACCAGAACACTGCTTTGAGACCCAAAGCACCAGTCAGGTGTCTGCATCTGCTGTGAGTTCTCACAGCCTTGCGTGTCAAATGTGCCCAGCAGAGAGGCAGGGCTTCAGGGGTTCCAGGGCGGGAAGAGGAAGGGAAGAATGCTCTAAGCTGCAAAGACTCGGTACCCAGGTCCTGATGTGGGAAGACATGCAATAAGAAATCTTTCTCACCTAGAGCCTGTGCTTGTTGATGTTTGGAGAGCGATTTCTTCTAGGTGTATGCAATATATGTACTGAGGGGCCAGGGAAGGCATGACAGTGCAGCCCTTCTGCAGGGATGGCTTGGAACCCTATCCCGGGCCTTAGGTTCAGTTGAAATGACAGCTGAGCCTGCAGCTTGAGAGGTGGGACATCCCAGCTGTGAAGCAGAATCAACCCCAAAGGATTTGTTGATCCGACTCACAGATGTCAAAACTGCAGTATTTTCTTACCATTTGAGATTTAGCAGTTGTCCTCAGATATGACCAAGGAAAGAAATTGAATGTACAAGTAGCAAATAAAGTGAACCTAATGGTTTCAATGGCCAAAGAAGAGGGATCCTTCCCATTGGGGCAGAAGGAAACCAGTTTGTGCTTACGTGCAATATGTTTAAGCTGTTCCCCAAGTCCCTGAGACATTTGCACATATAGGTGGGCTCCAGGGCTGTCTGCCGGGTCCAGGGGTACGGGGTAAATGGAGGGAGAGCTTGGGAGCTGGGAAAACCTCATGCATAGCGATGCCCTTGGCCCAAAACAGACGTGAGGTGGAGGGCCCCTGAGAGCCGGCTGTAGAATGTCCAGGAAAGTAGGCAGAGGCTAACTTTGCATGGAACCAATAAAAGCACTTTCAGAAAACCACAGCACTCAGCCTGGCTCCGTGTTTCTACACTGGCGAATATGGATCTCCTTGGGCTGTGTGAGGTATTCTCCTAGGGATTGGAACAGGGGATCAGGAAAGGGGCTGGTGAGGGAGGAGAGAGCAGAGATGCCTTCCTAGACATCAGCCACGGGGGAGCCCATTCTAGGGCCAGCCCTTTGCTGGCCTCTTCGTTGGAGGCCCTAAAAATGGAGTGGTGCTTTTCAATCTTGGTACCTATTTCTGTAAAAAAAAAAAAAAAAGAAAGAAAGAAAGAAAAAGAAAACAGCACAGTTGATTGAAATAGGTTTGCAGAGCAAATCATTTATCTATAAGCCATCTCAAAGTGAGAAACCCAGAGTTTCTTGCTTGCTGTGTGGTCTTGGGCCACTGTTTCCTCATTTACAAATGGGAATATTGGATGGAATGAGCACTAAAGTAAGTCCCTTTCACCTCTGATAGACTCAGATTCCCATCCTGGAGCCTCAGGAATCCATCACTAACCCACGAAACCAATTCCATTCTCTGACTGCCCAGCTCACATTCAAGGTGAGAGTTCTCTGCAAGGTAACTAACCCGCGGTGGATTCAGACCCACATGGTCCTGGCCGAGTTACCTTATATGAGGAGGCCAGCTCCCCAGGACAGATCTAAGCCATAGTTTCTGGTGGGGTGGTGAGAAGTAAACCCCAGCTTGGCTAGGTGAGACTCGTCATTGTCCCCGCCGAGCAGCTTTCAGTCCGAATGTTGTGACCACTTGGCTGTTTCTCTCTTGCTCGCAGACAATACTAGCAATACACTTGTTTTTCCAAAACAGCTTAACTTAGGCACTTTTCACACATTTCTTTCAAATGATTGTAAAACATATGGGGCAACAGGAGGCGTGGATCACACTGCATATGTTTAGGGCAACTTTTGTTTTTTGTTTCATTATAGCAGCGGTGACTGAGGCTTCAAGATCGGGGGACAGATGTTTAGGTACTCCATTTCATCAGAATGCCTTGCACATTCAGAAGCAGCACAGAAATCCAACTGCCCGAACTGGGGGCTCGGAAAATAGGGTTTTGTAGGCGGTCGTTCCCTGGGCTGTGCAACAGTGTCTCAAAGACATGTTTTATAGCCAGAACCCCCTCTCTGCTGTACATTTTGTCAAAGGATCCTCCAAGCCTCCTTTTTCACTTTGCCAGCCTTGCTCGTGGGTGACTTTTGAAGGGACTGGTCATCTTCCACCTCAGCACTTTGCCTTATCAATGTCTAGCCGCCATCTAGTGGCCAAAGACTGTACCTACCAGCTACCCAGATGGAAGGCAAATAAATCCTTTTGGCTACCTTGCTGTCCAACACCAACCTTGGGAATGAAATGCAAGGTCATGAGCAAACTGTCTGTGTGTTTAGAGCACAGTGTAACACCAGTCAGAAGCCCCAGAAGCAGCCACGCAGACTGAGAAGTAATACACTAGCTATCCTGTTGGCAGCAGAGACAGGAGTGGACCCTGTGCCCAGGTGCCCAGGAGGGGTTTACTGTAACTGCAGTGCTGGCAGCGCAGCTGCTGACCTTGTTAAGTGAACCTCTGCTCTGTGGCCCCCACTGGACCCTCGGGACAAGCAAAGAGGTTGAGTGTGAGGATTCTGTGGGGGGCCTGGCCATGGCGTTTGGTATGGTCCACCGAATAGCCAAATAGATTTTTTTTCGTTTGGTTGGTTTTGTATTTAAAAATCTTGTCAAATGTTTTTGTGTTAGGAATAAAAAGTCATAAACTACTCCCAACTTTGTTTCTGGAGGAATGTTCTGATTCCAGTGGAAAGAGGTTGGAAATCTCAAGGGGTGTGCGGTCAGAGTGGTCAGTGGACCAGGGAAGTGGACCACTTGGATTTCCAGATGGTTTCTGGGGAAGGTGACCACCCAGAAGTCTGGCTCAGTGCAGTCTCTGCTCTGGAAATTCACACCCACTCCCTTCACCTACTTGTGACATTGGTATTAGCATTGGTTTGGAGCATCTGCTTCTTCCAGAGGCAGCTGCTAATGTTGAAACCAACACAAGATTCCTCTCCCCATCCCCAGGTTTCTAAAGAAACAGTGTCTGTAGCTAGCCTTAATCGACTGGGCAAGGTGGTCCCTATGGTCCCTTCCAGCATTTCCAAATATTGGACTCAAATCCTTTTCTCTTAGTGTGACCATGCGGCCTAGAGAATTCTGAGCAATAGGAAGCCAGGGCTTTCCCTGGCTCTGTGACAGGGTCAAACCAGGGAATGGCTAACCTTGTGAGGTTTGGGCATCCCCAGGGGTACTACTGTAGGGGGCATTATTTATTAGGAAGCTCAACAAGGTAACTACAGCCTGGGGTGTGTGAGCGCGAGGTTGTGTGTGTGTGTGTGTGTGTGTGTGTGTGTGTGTATGCATGTGTGCACGCCTGTGTTTGTGTGTATGTATGGAATTACATTGATGCATTTCTTGAGAAAGGTGCAAGAATTTCACCTACACAGAGGGACACATCTGCTTTGTTATTTATAATAGAAAGCTAAAATTTAATTTTTTAAAGGACACTGCTGATGATTGAGAATCAAGTTTTTAGTTTTGCTATTTTTTTTAATTGGTAGAGGATTTTTTATATATTTTTTCCATTTTGTTGGGTTGTGTCCTTATTTATATAAATACATTATCCCTGAGGGCAAAGGAAGAAAACTTCTTTGCTTTTAATTATTATGGTTGGCATTGTCCCCATTTTATTTCTGGTGTGGTTTATCTGTCTTACCTTCTAAATGAGAAACTGTTTTCCTGTATTTGTACATTGTCAGATTCTATAGTTTCATAGATAATTTAACCAAATTGCTCTATGTATTATTATTCCGTGAGTATAAAGTTCTATTTTAACGTCTGTAAATACTTCAGAACTGGCTTCTTTTCTCCAACTCCCACTGTGGAGTTATTGTTTACATCACAAAAACTGTAGAATCTCTATGCTCATGTACTGTAAATAGTGAAGTGATCTGCTTATAAATAAACTTAACAAATACACTATGGAGATTAAAAAGAAAATACCACCCACAGCCCTGCCCAGGTGTGTCTTTCTTTATTGGTCCTACGTGCTCGTTGAGGGTCGCGCCGGCTACTAACTGGGAAAAGGATTCTAGTTGCAGCGTCATCTCTCAGAGAAGACCCCAGTCCAGGTGTGCCCCTCACTCCAAAACTCTCCCAGCTCACTAGTCCTTTCTTCATAGCACTTTTTGTGGATCATGATGAACCATTCAGACTTGCCTCACATAACATTGTTCCATTCTGGCTTCTTGCCCGTATGACTCTTATAAAGCTATATATACCACCTTGTGAACGAGGACTCCCTTGTTTTGGTGTATCCGCTTTTTCACACAAGCACACTAAATATATGTGCTAAAAGAGAGATTTTGACATTTTGGTTTCAGACAAAGACACTCACCAACTGACAACTATGAAACGGTTTCTGGTCGGAGGATATGGAAAACTTGAATTGTGTGCCATATTTGGGTGAACTTGAAACATTTTCCTTTGCTCACTTACTCCCAGTGAGAGCAGTGAAGCGTGGCATCTTCCAAGACTTTCCGTCTTGGGTGTGTGTGCTATTGCTGCGGAGTTGTCCTGTGTTGGGCCAAGATGGCCAGGCCTTAACACCTGGCATGGATCAGTCACTGGGTGCAGGCCACCACCCTTGGGCAACTGTCTCCCTGCAGATGAGGTAATCCCTGAAGGGGCTGACACCGAGGGCTGTCTGCTGACAGCGCTCATCACTGCTGGGAACACGAGTCTTCAGTAAAGGGTCTGTGCAGCTCATCACAGCATCTGCCACAGCTGGATATTAGGGGTTCGTGTGTTGCATGTGATAAGGATGTGGTTATGTTAGAAAACGCCCATATGTCTTTAAAGATGTATAATGGAGGAGTAAACGATATGTCTGGAACTTGCTTTTAAATATTTCAGCTAAGAAAAAAATGAAAAAAATATAAAAGGACAGACGAAGCAAATGTGGCAAAACTCTCAATATTAGAATCTGGGTGATGGGTAGGTGGGGATTCATTGTGCAGTTCTCTCCTGAGGATGATTGCAAATGTGTGTACTATAAAATGAAAGTATAAGAACAAAAATGATTCTAGGTAAGCAGGTGAGTCTGGCGCTAATGTTTAACTGAGTCTATGAAAGGCAAAATGTTGGTTGTAGCTCAATAAAAAGTGCTCACAGCCAAAAAGAGCCTTGAAAGCCACTAGGGAAGATGTAAACTAAATTCTTCAGTCTTCAAACCCTATAACTGACTTCTCAAGCAGGTGCATGGTTTCCCACTGGCTTGGGTACCCTCCTCCAGTGAAGGGTGGGGCCGGTCTGGGCGTGGATCCCCGCTTGTACTACTGGACACAGCAAGACTTGGATGCAGGCGCGCCTCCACCTGAGCCTGGTTTTACCCCAGGCTGATTTCCTGCAGCTGCTGCAATCAGACAACAAAGAGAACACACCAGATGAGAGGAGGCTGTGGCAGGCTTTCCCTTTGACCTGGTTGTGGCGGGCTTTCCCTTTGACCTGGTTTGGACCAAGAGTTGCATACTCCAGGGCTCTCAGAGGCCCTATGTCCACCACTTTATTATTGGAATGTGTCCTGCACTGGTTGGGAGCAGTCAGGGAATCCTTGCTGGGAGCCTCAGTCTTGGGAACCAGGCTCTGCTACTGCTCACAGTGTGACTTGGCCATGACACTTCACCTCTGCGGGCCTCAGTGCTCTCATACGTAGATTGGGGACAGCTAGGTGGTGGGGAAGCCCGAATAGGTCCACGTGTGTGAGGCTTTGCGGCCCCGCCAGGCACGCCGTGAGAGCTCGGTGTGTGTGGCGTAGGGGCTTTCCTCCTCCCCCTTCCACAGACCTTGGTTGGCTGCCTGCCCTTTCTGTCTCTCCTCCTCCTGCACCTTCACCTTGGCTTCATACTCGTCAGCGAGCACTTTCCACTCCTTGCGGTTGTTGGTGATCCCATCCAGCATGGGAGTGATCTCCTCGTGGAACCGGGAGAATTCCTGGAAGAGAGAGACAGAGCCCCTGGCGCAGGAGTCGAGCCCTGGGGTCCAGGTTCCGGGTGGAGCACAGTGGGTCGTGTCTGCACTGGAATGAGCTGCCCGGGCGCGTTGCAGCTTCCGTCCTCAGCGGTGTGTGTGACGACACTGCAGGGCTTCTGGCCACAAGGTCCCATGCCTCTCCCGCTTGAAACCCTCCTGTGGCACTCCCTGGTTTTCAGGATGAAGCGCAAGCTCCTTCACAAGGCTTTCAGGCTCTCCAGACCCAGTGCCCTTCCCCTTCACCAACTTGAACCCTCCGGACATTGCAAATCTGTCAGTTTCTGTGGGCTTCATACCAGCTCTTGCCTTTGCTGGAACACGCTAACTTATCCCTTCTTTTCCCTTGAGGCCTCCACTTAGACATCACTTCCTCAGGTAAGCCTCTTCTGATCCCCAAGGTAAGTCAGGTCCTCTTATTAGCAGCTCCCCAAACCTTCTCTTCCTACATCTCACTTCACTGTAATGACTCCCTTTGCCAGTCTGCCCCCGGAGCTGTGAGCTGGAGAGGGCAGGGACATCTCTGCTTATTCATTGGGGTGGCCTTGGCCTAGTACAGGGTCTGGGGCACAAAGACAGTCAATATTTGCTGAGTGAAATCGGGATAGGAAGAGGATTCTTAAGGTCTCTTAGCTCTAAGAATAAAAATAATGCCTTTGAGCACAGCACATGACAGTTTATGAAGTGCTTTATCTCCTTTGATCCTCAGAAACTCCTGCGAGGTGGGAAAATGAGACTCATTACTCCTAGATTTTTAGGTGAAGAAATGGTGATGCAGATTGGTAGAGATTTGCACAAGGTAAGAATGGCAAATCCAGGGTCTACTGTGGAGTTCAGCCAGAGCCAGCTGTGCTCAGAGCTGCCTGGCTTCAGATCTAGATTCTGCCACCAGCTGTGTGACCTTGGGCAGGACACCATGAAATCAGGACAGTACCTCATAGGGTTGCTGTGATAATGCACGTAAAGCACTGAGCCCAGTCTTTGTTGTTTCATATATTACTGATGATCATGGAGAGCGTCAACTATGCTGCCCTGTTGCTCAGAGGACCCCAGTTAGTCTGCGTTATATCAGAGATGCACTTGTGCACCCTCTGGGAGCAGAAGGGCTGCAGCTTATGCAGCAGAAAGAGCCCTAGACTAGGGGCCAGGCATCCCGGCTCTGATGCTGTCTGTAGCTGACTCCAGTGACTTGGCCCTGTGATTTCTCCTCTCTGACCTCTGTCTCCTCATGTAACATGGCCAAAATAAAAATAACAAATGAGAGGGGCGTGGTGGGTTTCTCAAGAGAGACTAACTTTGAGCCAAAACTCAAATATTCCCACAAGCTGGGGAAGTTAGGCAGGCAGGTATCTGCTATGCTCCCCACTTCTCTGCCTGAAAACACGATATGTCATTTGTCCCGCAACTATTTATTGAGCAACTAGGATATACGAAGCTCCGGGCTCTGGCCTGGGTATGCAGTCACACAAGCTCCTACGGGGCTGTCCTGAGGACCAAAGGCCATTGGAGGTGAGAAGCGCTTTGTAAAGTATCACTCATCACTTGCCAGGTTTTTTTATTCCTGATGTCATTTGGGAATCCCGGGCTCATCAAAGACATCTTGTTGGGCCTTTGAAAGCAAAGGACTTACCTTGTAGACAAAGGTGCAAACGAAGTCAATGAAGCCGACCTGAAGCTTGGGGAGTTCGTCCGCCTTGTTTCTGTCCATCATGGGCTGTCACGGGGGGAGAAAGAGTTAACTGCACTGGGCTCCTCCTGGCCTGATGCAGCAAGGGGACCCACCCTACCAATGAAACATTCTTGCAAAACAAAAACCCTCTAACTGGTCTCCCTGTGTCTGGTGGGGGCGCGGCTGACAGTTCCAGCCAAGTTTGCTTTCAATGTCGATAGGTTCTCAGCTTGACCAGGTCATCCCCTTGCATGGTCTGTGCTGTTAGAACAGAGCCAGGGGAGGTGGACTCCTAGACTGTTGGAACTGAAAGGGAAATCTAAGTTTTGGCATCCACTTGTCAATCACTACTTAGCTGAGTGTGCTAAGGACACATAGCTTAAAGCAGGGTCCTCAAACTTTAGGAGAGAGCACATTGCTGGCCCACCCCCAGAGTTTCTGTTCAGGTAGGTCCAGGGTGGGTCTGTGGATTTGCAACTGTAATATGTTCCCAAGTAACGAGGTTGATGGTGGTCTCCAGGGACCATACTTTGAGAACCACTGCATTAAGGAAAGGTCATCTCTGTGGTAAGGTCACACATCCCTGTGTCAAGGGTGAGGAGGCACATCTCTCCATCACGGCAAGGTCACTGATCTCCACCAGGATGAGATCACATGCCCAGTATCAGGCTGAAGTCCCTTCTCTACTCACAATGGGATTCTGTTGCAGCACCGTGCGCTCCAGGTCACCTTGTTCCCAGAATTCGGCAGCAACCAGTAGCGCCACCTGCAACAGGCAGACACCCGCCATGGAGTCAAGCCCCAGCCCCAATCCTCCTACCCGTGCTCCCATCCCATGTGGGTTTCCAGCTCAGCAAAGACATAAACCCCACTCCTGCCCTGCCACCCCACTTTATGTCATCATGGGAGTGGTCCTCAGGTGATTGCCATGTCTTGGCAGAGGAGGATGGAGCAAAGGTGGGCTGCCTCAGGAGCTGGAGAATCCAAGCCCCGTTAGCTGCTGTCACCAGTACTGGGATGCTCCTTCTCTCAGGTCAGGAGGAATGCATACCTTGCTCTGCACCTCCCAAGGCTTGGTGATGGCTGAGAGATCACAGGCAGTCATCATCATGGCCCTGCACACAAGCACACCAGCCATCAGTCCAGAGCCAGTCATGGCTGTATATCTGGTTAATTCCATCTATCTCTCCTTTCTCTGCCCCTACTAGTAGGTGACCTCATCCCATGGTGAGAAGAGGGGTCACTTCCCCATTGCATCTGAAGGTCAGGCTTTGAAATCAAATAGAGGTTTAAATCCTGCCTCTGTCAGTTAACAGGAGTTTGGCATTGAGCAATTAAACCAACTTCTCTATGCCTCAGTTTCCCATCTGTAATAATAATGGTACGTCCCTCATGGAGTGGGTGCAAGATTAAATGAAATAATGTGTGAAAAATCTTAGCATGGTGCCTGGATATAGTGTGTGCATAATAAACACTGGCGATGATCAGGAACATATATTGGGTTTCTATTATGTGCCTCACACTGTTCTAGGCATTTTATAGACATCAATTTCATTTAAATCTCATCATATCCTCGGAGTTCTTTCTCTCCTGTCTAATATAGAACAATGTTTCTCAACCTTTTTCTCATCATCCTCCCTGCTCCACTGTCAAAGAGTTTTTTATTAGACATTTTTCCTATAATCGCTGTACCATGAAATTCTAATAGCACAGGCATACTGTATATCTGTTTGGAGGGCCACAGACCATTGTAATATCTAAGATTTTTTGCTCCTCTCCCAAGAACCGCTTTTTGCCCCACTGAGTAATGCATGATGCAGGGAGAAAGGCGACCCTGGTCATTGTGAGGAAGCCTTATGTTAAGAAGTAGAGGAAGGGATTGAGGAAAGAAAGAAAGGGTTAAAAGATAAACTTTTTAAAAAAATATTTTCATTTGGATTTCTTTCTTTTTTTTTTTTTGGCTGCATTGGGTCTTCGTTGCTGCGCGCAGGCTTTCTCTAGTTGCAGCGAGCGGGAGCTACTCTTCGTTGCGGTGCACGGGCTTCTCATTGCGGTGGCTTCTCTTGCTGCGGAGCACAGGCTCTAGGCACACGGGCTGCAGTAGTTGTGGCACGCAGGCTCAGTAGTTGTGGCTTGTGGGCTCTAGAGCACAGGTTCAGTAGTTGGGGCACACAGGCTTAGTCGCTCCGTGCCATGTGTGATCTTCCCAGACCAGGGCTCGAAACTGTGTCCCCTGCATTGGCAGGCGGATTCTTTTTTTTTTTTTGAAGAAATTTATTTTATTATTTTATTTATTTATTTATGGCTGTGTTGGGTCTTCGTTGCTGCGCGCGGGCTTTCTCTAGTTGCGGTGAGCAGGGGCTACTCTTCGTTGCGGTGCACGGGCTTCTCATTGCGGTGGCTTTACTTGTTGCAGAGCACGGGCTCTAGGCACATGGGCTTCAGTAGTTATGGCACATGGCCTCAGTAGTTGTGGCTTGTGGGCTCTAGAGCACAGGCTCAATGTTTGTGGCACACGGGCTTAGTTGCTCCGTGGCATGTGGGATCTTCCCGGACCAGGGCTCGAACCCATGTCCCCTGCATTGGCAGGCGGATTCTTAACCACTGGAAGGTGGATTCTTAACCACCGCGATAAATTCTTAAAGGAGTTTCATAATAATGGAAGGTAAGACAGGTATTATTACATAGGTAGGTACAATATAAGACAGAAGGGAGGGGACATGGGAAAAGAATTGGAGAAAGGGGCGAATTTGAGAATGTGTTTCAGAGTCGGGGTGTAGTGGCATGAGCGTCTGGGATGGGAATGCTGGGGCCATGTACTATGGGCCTTAATTCCATGCTGGGGAGTGTAGGTGTATCCAATAAGCAGGAAGAGCTTTTGAAGGTTCAAGGCCAGGTCATGACCTCATCAGAGCGGCTTGGCAGCACCTGTAAGATGAAGCAGACAGGAGAGGGAGGGAAGACGGAAGGAAGGAAGGAAGACGCTGCAGCAATGCAGGCAGGATGGCAGGAGGGCCTGACCTGCAGCAATACCCGCGGGCTGGAAGAGCATGGGGTCAACCTCACGTGGTAGAGCCAATCCGACTTGGTGAGATGATGGGCATGGGCTGGGAAGGGAATAGTTGGAGAAGGTTGGGGCTCTGAACCTAACTAGTGGCTTGGATGGTTTTACAGTTTACCAGCTGTATCTGGCATGGGTTACATAAGCTGGTCTGGGAGGCCTGAGGAGTTATGAAATATTAACAGGTTTAACTATCTTTTTTTTTTTTTTTTTTTTTTTTTTTTTTGGGGCGCAGGCCCCCCCCTTTTTGGGGCCCCCCCTC